ATCGCCCATCGTCCTGCTCCGTTTAGGTGTTAATATTTCAATTAGCAGCCGTTTATGTTTACGTAGCGAGAGGAATGGAACGGAATGGAATTCCCTTGTAATGCTCCACGCAACTGTTACGCCGAAAGTCGTAACGAAACGTAATACTCCTCCTGGACATGCCACCACACGCCCGTACAGCCGAACAGCCGTACAGCCACACACACAGCATGTGGCAGAGTGGCAGAGTGGCAGGCGTATGCTTATGCGTATGCGTATGTGTTCTGTTGCGGTGTGTGTCTAATGTCCCGACTAAGTTTTACAACTGATTGCGGCTGAGCGGCACTTAACGAGCCCAGATTGCAGCAGATTTTTATTATGATTGCGTTCGTCATCTGTGGGGCAGTCTGTGGCGGGGGACCTTGTGGTACCCTTGGACGGCCCTAGGACTTGAAGGAAGGAAGCTCTGGGCTGGTACCAACAAAGGAGGCAGATACTGGGGAGAGTATTCCGGATAGATAGGGAATCGCTAGCCCCTCCTAAGATATCATCCAGTCCGCTCTCAGGATAGCTGATTCCCCACCAGATGGATTTCAGTTCGCAAGAATGATTGCCCGAACAGAAGGGATAATAAATCCACTGAAATGCCCACTGGGGGTCCCCTGATCCCTCCGGGATGCCTATATATCTACCTTGCGGATCTATATAGATTTAAATACATTTGCTTATCACTTTTTTTGATGAGTAGGCCCTGGGTGACGGGGTGGGCGGGGGATAAACTTTTCAATAATGAATATGCAACAGTAAATGGCCGACGCATCTGCGGGGGTGCGGGGGATTGGTCTCTCTCTTTCCCTTTCTCTCTCTCTCTCTCTCTCTCTGTTTTTTGAACATTTTAATATGCATGGCAGGGCCCGACACATTGCAAAAATGAAAAGAACAAAGGGACAGGGGGACAGGGGGACGGCGAAAAGAAAAACCGCCAGCGGCAAACGAAATAAATTTGTCAGCCATTGCAATATTCTTTTGGGCCGCAAATGAAACTCTGGAATGGCTCTGGCTCTGGCTCTGACTCTGGCTCTGGCCCTGGACGTGGCACTGGGCTCTGTCTGTGGGATCTGGGATCTGCAGCCTGGACCTGGTTCTGGTTCTGGTCAATAAATAAATACGCAAAAGTAAAGCATATACACATACAAAATACATCATGCAAAACGCCGCGACGAGTGTGTGTGTGTGTGTGTGTGTGTGGGTGTGGCTGAAGGCTGGGCGGTCGGTGGTTCGCTGGAAATTGTGCATGAAAAATATGAAAAGACATTTTCGGTTAACGTTGCCCCGCAACCAGGGCTCTCCCCTGCTCTTCCTTTGCTCTCTCGACTGACAATAAATGTCATTTAGCTCTGGAGAGAGGAGGGAGGAGAGTGGCGAGCGGAGAGTGGAGAGTGGAGAGGGGGGAAGCTGAAGCTGCACAGCTGCACAGCTGCACAGCTGCCTGGCAATGCCAATAAAATTTATTTAAAGCAAATTAAGAATCCAATGGCCTGCGAATGATTTGTGTGGTGGAAGATCATCCGCGGTGCGCCGCGGCAGTCGGCCAGGATCGTCGCCAGGAAGTTTACGGGTGCCCCAGATATCCCCACTCCCCCCGCCCTCAAGCAGCATCCATCAAGCTTTAATGATGATTTTGTAATCGCCACTCAGGCGATTCACCTAAGACCTGTAAGCTCCTCGGCATCTGGCACCTAGTATTTCCATTTGATCTCTCCTGACGATAGGTGAAATTCATTTAAAGCTCCCCTGGACTCCCTTGCCCCATGTCCACTGGCTGTCTCCGGGCTGTCTCTGGCAATTCACTTTTAAACATTGAGCAAAAACATGGACAACAATGGTGTGGAGACTATTCAATTCGGGTGCAGCCTTATCTCGTGCTTCAGCCATTTGTCACACAGTTTACACATTCGCCACACACTTTCTTTTCCTTTCTTCTATTTCGTTTCGTTTTATTTCATTTTATTTTATTTGAAATTTTAATAAGTCTATGCCTGGGTTTTATGTCGGCCTGCCTCCTGGCCCTGTCCCCGTCCCTGTCCCTGTCCCGGCTCTGTGGCTGCCTTCACAGCATTCAAGTGCATTTCAAATTGAAAAGATTAGGCCCTAGTTTTTGTAGCATTTATTCATAAATAATTGAGCAGGTTTTCAGGAGACTTAAAGCCGTATTTCGATCAGAGCTGAATAGTTTCAAATGGGGCTTAAAGGTGCAGCCTGCAGCCTAGAGAAGAGTTGCCAAGATTAACATCTTTATGGCCATATCAAGTACCCAGAAATGCCATCGATGGCTTCATTAGATTCGAACTGGCATTAACTGGATTCCCCCCCTCCGCTCCCGCAGAATGGGGGGGGGGGGGGGAATGGGAAATTTTCAATTACGCTCGTGACATGACATAAAACGTAAATTAAGGCAAAATGTCTAAAGCGTTGAAGGGCGACAGGGGGTGTTTATATCTGTGGGTGGGCTGTGTGGGGGGTGCGTGTGGGGTGTGTGTGGCTGTGGCTACTGCTGGGGCTGACTGGCGAGTGTAACGCTTGATTTGCTCTGACATAAGTGGCGGCGACTCCCGACTCCCGACTCCCGACTCCTGCCGCCTTCGGCCTGCCCCCTTCTGCTGCTGGTCGCTGCTTATTGTTACGCCTACAACGAAGCCATTCCGAGGCATTCCATTTCTGGCATTCAACATTCGCCAGCATTTGCCATTTGGCTCCTGCTGCTGCTCCTGCTGCTGCGGCTAGAGGTTTTCATACCCCGTACTCGCCGAGAGCGAGGGTATACGGGATCCCGATTGATCCAAGCAAAAACCAAAGCGGGAATCTCCCGGAGTGATGCAGGATGCAGCGGCAGGATCGCAGGGTATCCCCCCGTCGAATCACACAGCACTCCCACTTATTCCGGCTCATTCCCCATGCCGCATGCCGCATGCCCCATGCCCCATGCCCCATGCCCCGTGAGTCGTGAGTGTGTTGGACAACACAGCGACGAGTGCATGTTAAGTGCCTTATTATCCTGTTTATGTAACCGTGCAGTTTTGTCCGGACACAGGACACAGGACATGGGACATGGGACTTCAGAGCCAGAGGCCAGGGCCCTGTCCCCCCATCCCCCCTGTACACATGTAGTGTTTCTCCAGTTTCATGTTTTATTCAGGCCTAGTTTACAAATTGTCGCAACGTGGGACGTGGCGGCCGGCCGCATGAAATGAATATTTTGAATACAAATAACTTAAAGTCGACAAATATCCAAAATTTCGGACAAAAGGAAATTTCTCCCCCGAGAAAACATGAGAAAACAGTCAGCGCCCAAACTGCCAAACGACGAAGACGAAGACGAAGACGATGACGATGACGATGACGACGATGAAGACTTGTTGCCTGGCCTGGCAGGGACTGGCAGGGACTGGCAGGGCCTGGCCCTTTGTCCTGGCTGGTTATTGTTGTCGCAGGAGCCGTTGATTGCTTTCTGTTTTCCAGACGGTTTTCAAGTTCATAGCCCGAAAGGCGGGTCTAAAAATATACATAGCAGTGAAGCCCCAGAGGAATCAACATTTCACTGGAGTTCTTTCATTGATCTTTCAGACGAGATCGCAGATGAGTGCCAGTGAATGCCCCAAGGAGAACTTAAAGTGGAACTTTGAACACTTTGAATCGGAGTCGTGTTCTCTGCGCCGTAAAGATTGACTTGATTAAGTTTCTGGAGCTCCTGCGATGCATGCCACACCACCCCACCCCACTCCACCCCACCCCACGCCATCCATTCGATTCGATTCGGTTGCGTTCTGTTCCACCTTCTGAGTGTATTTATCATGATTTAGATTGCTAAACACACACACACACTTGCACAAAGCCATATACAGCCGGGGAGCCTTGGACAAGGACTCAGAGCCGCACTCCCTGCACTCCCTGCACTCCCTGCACTCCCTGCACCCCCTGCAGGAGCCGCCACTCCAGGCACTGGCCCGACCGTGCCTCCTGGCACTTTAGAGCAGGCTAATTACAAAAAGTGAAAACACAATTCATTTTGCTTGTGGTTTATGCGTTTTCTTTGCTGCCCCAGCCCCAGCCCCTGCTCCACTGCCCCTGCCCCTGCCCCTGCCCCTGCCCCTGTTCCTGCCCCACTCTGCTGCTGCTGCTGGTGCTGCAGCACTCCCCCACCTTGCAGCGTTATAAAAATGTTTATGGCTGACGTTTGTTGCCATAAAAATGCGAAGTTGCCCGAGGGGTGGCGGGTGGTGGTTGGGCGTTGGGCGTGGGGCGTTGGGGGGATCTACCGTTGCGAATGCGATTACTTGACGACCAAAAAGGTCACTCAGCCGTGGCCATCGCCTGCCATTGTTGTGCCTCGTGTCCTTGTCCGGGGCTACCACTCCTCCTCCTCCTCCTCCTCCTCCTCCTCCTCCTCCTCCTCCTCCTCCTCCTCCTCCTCCTCCCAGTTCCTCCCACCCTGAGTGTCTCTATGTGTGTGTGTGTGTGTTTGTTCCCGCCGTATTTATGGCATTGTGTTTGTTAATAACATTTGCAGCGTCGAGTGCATTCCATCTCTGACGTAATGCCCCCGACGGGGCCCAAAGCGGCCCAAAGGGGCTCCGGTGCTCTGGCTCCTGTATTGCTTGCTAAAACAAATGCGAACGGAAATACCCTGCAGCCGGCACGGAGCATGATAGATCGATATGGAGATCCGAATGCACCCTAGAGGACTCCGATCCCCATGGTAAGGACCACCCAGAGGGAACTCCAATGAAACATTCGGTTCCCAGGGGCTCTTTTCTCTTTCCCAGGGTGAATGGAGCTGGTGCCGTTCTGTCCTTTACAGGGTGCCAGTCAGGTCCACCTGCCAGTCGAGCACCTGACTTGCTTTGTTGTTCTAATTAATTTAAGTCTCCCACTCCCACTCCCTCTCCCACTCCCTCTCCCTCTCCCACTCCCTCTCCCTTATCCACCTCTCACTCGTGTTCTACTGCTTTCTCTCTCTCCATCTGTATCTCTCTCTGTTTGGCTTTCTTTGCAGTACTTGGCAGTGCAATTACGCAGAATGGCGTTTGCCTTTTAAGTTTCAACGCTCGCATTGTTCCCCGGCAGCGGCCGAAGGCATCCCAGGCATCCCCGGCATCGCAGGCATCGCAGGCACAGTGGAAAAACTCACGTTAAACAGGCGAGCAGTCACCGGCTGTGGCAGCAGCAGCAGCCAGTTCCAGTTCCAGTTCGAGTTCGAGTTCCAGTTGCAGTTGCAGTGGCAGCAGTGCCACTGACAGGGGCAGTAAGTTACTGTGCAACTTTTGCCGGAGTCCCGTCGGTGCTGTCGTTGTTGTCGCATAACTCAAAGCTGATGAAATATGGAGCTGCTTCAGGTACTCTGCTGCACGCTCCTCCTGCTCCTGGCCCGAATGCAAGGTGAGTCCGAAGCTGCCGCCTGCAAGCGGCAGCAAGTTGCAGCCAGATCCAAGTGGCACGCGGCACGCGGCACGCGGCACGAAAGTCGTAGCTGGTAGATGGTAGCCATCGGTTACACCGATATATGACCGATATTGCTCTATCGAAAAGTTATCGCTCTTAGTCGACTCCTATTAAAACTATCGATAGGTGGTTCTAATAAACTAATCGCCTGGTTTTGTATCGAATTCGATATTTATGGTAAGCAAGACATGAAAATGTCACAGATATCTGCCCCCACTAAGACCCAGAAACTGAACATTTTAAAGGTAATCGACTTGTCATCGATCTTTATCGATTTTTATAGATTTAATGAGGGATGAAAATCCTTATATTTTGCCATCACTAACAGTGAGTCATGTCGGCATGCTGTCATCGCTGGCTTTGATCTAGTCAAAAATTGAATAATTCCCCCCACATGCAGCCCCTAGCACCGCCCCCTTTGGCAGCCCTTGGGGAACAGCTAAGCCTGCACCCCGTGCTCAGCCCCACCTGCACTTTGGGGTCAGTGTCAGCCGTGTCAACGATATGCGATACGCGATATGCAAATTTCCTGCACATCAGCCCGACACGAGAGCTTGCATAACTTTGCAACACCAATGCCGCCAGCAACAACAGCAACAACAGCCACAGCAAGTTAAGCAAACAACAAGCGGAACAACATCAGCTGCAATAACCCAGAGTCGCGACGGTGCAACATCGTGGCATGTCTCCCGCCCCCGTCCCCCGTCCCCCGCCTCCCGTCCGATAAGTTGCCCCCTGGGCTGCTTTCTGGGTTAGCAGTTTGCTGGCTGCTGGTCTGCTGGGGTTGTCTTATCAATGCCACAGATCTGTCACCATAAATTTAACATTAATTACGGAATGGCAACCCTGGCGACCCTGGGCAACCTCTGGGCAACCCTGGACGGCGCCGCGCTCAGCTCCGCTCCTCTGGCAGATAATGAGCAACAGAATAAATAAATAAATTGCAGTTGGGAGGGAAGAAGCAGCAGCGCCAGAGAAGCCTCAAATTACCAGAAACGGATGCAAGTGACCAAAAAGTTTGCACATTAATCGGGGGCTACTTAGGTCCAACTTTGCCCCGGAATAGGAGGAGGACGGAAGGACACGCAGCAGCAGCCGCAGCAGCAGCAGCAGCAGCAGCAGAGGCTGAGGCAGAGGCAGAGGCCAGGAAAGTGCATTGGTAATGAGCCTGAGCCCCGAGCCCTTAGCCCCGGGATCTGTGCCGACGCCAATGCAAATGCAAATCGATAGATGCAAATAGACAAAAGTTTTTGAATTGCCAGAGATTCCAATTCAAATCTGATCAAATTTTAATGAAATACAATAGAAGAAACAAAGCTGAAAATGCCAGCATCAAATGCCACATTTATGTGCATTTTGTAGGAGTTTTGGAAAGTTTTGAAGACCCCCAAAATGGGGTCATTACGGAAAAAAGCATAGCGTAAGTCGAACAATGTTTAGGTGATAATTAATCTAAGAACAGAGTCCAGAAGATGTATAATCCATGAGGTATTTCACGCGGTGTTTTGTATCCGAGACTACATCTCCGCTGAAAAGGTAATAAATGCACGACAGCCACTTGCCCCCATCTGTAGGCGCTAAAGAGGGGGTGTGGAGGCACTTTCCCTCGCCGCAAGCACACACTCACACATTCATGAATGTTGCAACTTCTAAACATTTACTCCCGGCGCCACTTGGCAGAGGCATTTGCCCCAGCGCCGCAGACTATGCAACGTCTGCGCGGCTTTAAAGACAGCCCCAGACAGAGCACACACACACACACCACATATATGTGGAGTACATATATACATATGTATTTGGGCAAATATATAGCAGAGCCAGCGGCCGCAGGAAGAATTTTTAGGAGAGAACTTCAGGAACAGGTCGAAAAAACGGCACGAGAAATGGTTGCAAAACGAAAATATCATGAAGATGAAGATGAAGAAGAGGAAGAGGAAAAAAATGCAAAGGGGGGTGGGACACACACACACACACCTACAGAGAGAGAAAGAAATGTTCATGCAATAAATTCACGTTGAAATTTTGCAATAGTTGCGTCTAGGAGTTGCCGCAGTAAACGGTGGGGCAGAGGCGCCAGAGCGGGGGCATCAAGAAATAAAACAGGCAACAGGACGCCGAGGGTCGCTGAGGGGCGATGAGGGGCGATGAAGGGCCCCCGACCCACCAATCCACCGACCCACCGACCCACCCATCGAGTTGAGTGGCTTCTGCCGGTTCCTGCTGCTGCTTAATTTTGCAGCGCCTCCTTCGCTTAAGTAAACTTTCCACCAAAAGACGGGAGAGACGAGGGCAGGGAGACCCGGAGGTGGAGGAGGCCTCCCAGCAGAAGAGGCTGCAACTGCAACTGCACCAGGAGCTGGAGCTGGAGCTGGAGCTGGGGCTGGGGCTGGGGCTGGAGGCGCTATTGCCTGGGCTGGCCTGGCCTGGCCTGGCCAGCGATAAGCAGGCCGCCTCGCTCTGCACAATTTTTGTTTGCCCCATTCGATTAAACTAAACATAAATTTCATGGACGATAAATCAGCCGTGAGCGCTGGGACAGTTCCAGGTGCAACTTGCTGTGCAACTTGCCCCTCGCGGCACGTGTGGGAAATCAAAAGAGTAGGTACCACGGGCAGAAAGCCAGAGATCCGGCGAGCCAGCGAGCCGAGAGCCAGAGAGGCCGAGCCCCAGTCGGTGGAAGCTCCATTCAAGGCTTAATAAATGAATTTCCACTCACCGAAAATGCATTAAGTAATCCTCTTCATGGGAAACATTTACATCCCTCCCCCCATCGATGGCACGCTCGCCCCCGCTCTGTCCCTTCCGTGAGAGGGAAAAAATTCGCCCCATCAAATGGCAAGCGCGAAATTGAAAGAACAATTTCAGAAAATATGATTTTCGGCATGGACCCCTGCCCCTGAATGCAGCTGCTGCTGCTGCCGCCGCTGCCGCTGTCGGTTCGTGTCGGAAATAAACAAAAAATTCCAAAGTAAAAATGGAGAATGGGAAAAAGAACCAGGGGGAAGCGTCACGCTGAATGCTCTTACAATGCGTTTCGCTCGGGCAGGACTCGGGCTTTGAATGGAGAAATCTTCCAGCTGAAACGCAGTGCGGGGAAACCCTCTATTTAAGGATTATGGCAGGTCCTTGTACCTGTGAATCTGTATACACACTCTAAACATATTCGATTTCAAGCGCCTTCTGCGGCCTCGCCTCCTCGTAGAGTGTTTCGATATCGTTGCAGAGCCCGGCGGCTGCAGCTCTTTGTTCCTGTTGGTTTTTGTTGTTCTTTTGCCGCCGGAAAACTATACATAAATATACCCAAAAATAGTTGCTTCTTTTAGTGTTGTTTACCTGTGCTGCCCGAGCCCCTGCCCCAGCCCCTGGCCACACCTTCGCTGGCCCACTCGTCGGCTACGTAATGTGGCACGTAGCTAACAAACATGGCTGCTTCTCGTGAGGGGGGAGATGTGGGGTGTGGGGTGTGTGTGTGTGGCAGGACACTTGCTCTGTTGTTGCTTTTGTGTGCAGCTTCCGGATGGATCTTCAGCCTTTTTGGGAGGGGGGAGGAGGGCTGCAGTGACCGTAAGAACAACATTGGACCCCTGTCTGTGGCTGTATCTGTATCTGCAAGTGTGTGTGTGTGTGTTAATGCCAAATTAAGTTGCTGCACGTCGGAGCATGCATGAATGCTCCGCCCCCGCCCCCGACCGCGCCCCCGACCGCGCCCGCAGTGTCCAAGTAGAAGCCAAGCCTCTCCGCAGGCCTGTAATCCCGAAAACATTAAACTGCCCGCGTTAGGACATTGATTTTCGCTTTTGCCCGTGGCCCAAGCACATACAAGCACACAGAGATATCCTTTGGACATAGACACTCAGGGATATCCACAGATAGAGTCTCATCATCATCTGCCTGATGCGGAGTCCGATGCGGAGGCCGATGCCTAATGCTGCTGGCTGCTGGCTGCTCGTTTATGCGTTTTCGTGCAAATGAAAATTCAATTTGAAATGGAAATTATACTTTTTCTTCAGTTATTTTCTCATTGTTGTTTTTCTGTTTTTCTGCTTTTCCGTTTGTTTGTTTTTGTCGTTTTTGTCGTTTTTGGTCTCTTAAGCAGAGAGTTTGCTGTTTCTGTTTCCTATTTTCTGCTCTCTGTTCTGTTTTATGTTTCTGTGAGCTGCATTTTTGGAAATCGTTTCGCATTCAAAGCAGTAGATGGAAATATGATTGCCTGCCCCCCCTCCCCACAGAAGGCCCCCCTCTGTGTGCTCCAGAGCCGTGTTCTCGGATTCCAGTTCTCTGAGAAGACGATGCGATTCGATTTCATATTCCCTCCACTTTTCAGCAAATTAAGCGAAAGTTAAGCAGAGAACAAGGCCACGTAGGCCACACAAAATACAGCTCCAATTGGAGAGATGGCTCATTCATTGAGTTAATCGGAGACAGAGAGAGAGAGAGAGAGAGAGAGACAGAGGGAGACGAAGAGAGACGGAGAGACTCAATGTAAGAGAGATAGAGTGTGTGTGCTCTCTCATGCATGGCCAATAATCCTCGGGAATGGAGACATAAAACAATGGACGAAAGGACTGGGGCACGGAGGAGGGGAAGGCGGAGCATAACATAATTTCCAGCACTTAACCATGGCCAACTGTTGTCCCATTTCCATTTCCTGCCCCATGCCCCATGCCCCATGCCACACTCAGAGGGTCATGCATTTTTCCGCTTCGCTTGTTTTCAAACTGATTTCAATCTGTTTCTGCTGTCTTCCTTCGATCTTCCTTCCTTCCTTCCTTCCTTCACTTCAGCTCCAGCTTCATGCCACATCCCTTGAAGCCACACTCTGTCCGTCCTCCGTCACCGACTGCCACCGCACCACGGCAGCACCGTTTTGGCCGTTTCATTGTTTCATTGTTGCCAAAAGTCGTCGAGGTTTTTTTTTGTTGCGGCTTTTGTTGTTA